TTGCTCCAGAGCCGTAATTATGTCACAAGACGCCAAACTGCCATGTTTGAGAAGTGAACAACAAGAAGTTTTGTGGCTCTAGCCAACTTTAAGGCCATTTGTTCCCATTGAAACTTAAAATCTAAGAAAGGGAAACATGACTTTGGGTCTATTTAATTATGTCTGATACCTCTTCTCTTCCCACCAAAGGATACTGGCAACTAGATTGAACATGGTGGTCCTAAATGATACAGTTTCTCAAACTGTAGTTGACAGTTACTTTAGCATTCTCCTTCAAGGATAAATGCTTCTCAAGAAAATTTCCTGTTTAAGCCTAAAAACAATGTAGAAATCCAGAAAGCTCTAGAATGTAACTACAGAAGAATGCTCCCCAGCAACACTGCCCACCAGTTAGTTAGAACGTGAGAGGTCTCTTTTTCTACCACATCAGTTAGAAATCTAAAGGGTTCTTACCAAGCCTGCCACTGATAATCTTATTCAGAGAGTAAGCCATGATTTGAAGGCCCTCAAGGAATAGTTTCCCCCCACAGCAGCCTAGAACTCTTGCCTTAGGTATAACAGTAGCTGTGGAAAGTCAAAACCACCAGGCCATGCAGGTTCCAATAATAAACAAAATGTATGTGCAATGGATGCAGTTTTGGACTGTGCCTACTTCTGCATTTGCCACGGCAGTACAAGTTTCCAGAACTATTGTTGGCTGGAATTTTGGTCTAAATGGATCAGTCATGGTCTTGAAAGTCACTGTAATCAGAGTAACCAACACTGTTGTATTTCTGCCAATTGAGCTACTGTGTAGACAAACCATGAATAAAATTGGCTTGGTTGCAACTGGAATAGTCTATATTGCCACAGAGGGGCTTCCTCGATGGCTCAGTGGTAAATAATCTGCCTGCAATGCAGAAGACCCACAAAATGCAGGTCTGATACCTGAATGGGGAAGAACCCCTGGAGGAGGAAATTGCAACCCACTTCAGTATTCTTGCCTGAAAAATCCCATGGACAGAGTAGCCTAGAGGGCTACAGTCCAAAGGGTCTCAAAGAATTGAACACAACTGAGCAACTGAGCACATACTGCCACATGCAAAAGGCCTCATACTTTTTGTCAAAAGAGGTGCCTGCTAAACTCCAGTGCTACTGTATATGACCACGTTTCCTCCGGACTCTCACCCAAGGAAAGCCTCTCCGTGTGGGTAACTGTAATATGAGAAATAGCATTTGAAGTCAGAGGACCCACAACCCACATTAACCTGTTTTGTGTCTCAGGTTCCTTACTCATAAAAGTTCCCTTACAAGTTATTATGGTAATCAAAAATGATAACAAAAATGTTCCTGTTGCATGGTGAGAAATTTTAAAATATCAACTATAAAAATGCCACGGGGCTTCTCTGGTGGCTCAGCGGTAAAGAGTCTGCCTGCCAATGCAGGAGACATGGGTTCAATCCCTCATTTGGGAAGGTCCCACAGGCCATGGAGCAACTAAGTCCGTGTGCCACAACGACTAAGCCTGTGCTCTAAAGCCCAGGAGCCACAACCACTGAAGCCCGCATGCTGTACAGCCCATGCTCCACAACAAGAGGGGCCACTGCAGCGAGAAGTCCACACAGCACAGCCAGAGAGCAGTCCGTGCTGCCACAGCTAGAGGAAAGTCCACACAGTAACAAAGGTCAGCACAGCCATAAATAAACAACAATGAATTTAAAAAATTTGAAGTTAATATTTTTAAAATGCCATGATTTTATGGCTGAATCAGAAGAGGCTATATGATGTCAATCAAAAATTGACATCAAAACCAATTTTTTTTTTTCATTTTATTTTTTTTTTATTAGTTGGAGGCTAATTACTTTACATCATTACAGTAGTTTTTGTTATACATTGAAATGAATTAACCAATATTTTTAACTTCTTTGCTATCTGGAGTTAAAACTTCCTAAACAAGCATTTTTCTTTAAGCTGTACAAGCAATATTCATTCTGGCTGCCCCATCTCAAAGTGTGTGTAAAGTCAGCCTTAATACTGTAAGGGATGAGACTTGTCCCTTTTAGCTCACTAGAAACTTACTTCCTGCTGTTACTGCAGCATTTTCCCCAACATGCTGAGTTCTAACTCCCAGTACCTCAGAATGTTACCTTATTTAAGGACAGAGTCTTTACAGAGGTTATCTAGTGAAAATCAGGTCATCTGGGTGGGCCCTAATTAAAAGGGACAACTTGGAGATAGATACACAGGGAGAAAGCCATGTGAAGCTGAAGGCAGAACTGGGGTTATGCATCCTCAAGTCAAGGAATGCCAAGGATTGTCAGAAAACTAGGCGAGATGCGTGAACCTTCCTCACAGCCTAGGAGAAACCAACCCTATCAACAACCCAATTTCAGACTTCTAGCCTCCAGAACATTTTACAACTGCCCTAGCAAAGTGATACATTCTGGAAGGGTTATCCTCTAAAAGAGAGAGACGGAAAAGGAATGGGAAGAAAGAACTAACATTACTTGACTGTGTACTTTATTTCAGGAGTTTCACACTGTTATGTCATTTAATCCTCATCATAACCCTACAGAGTCGTTATCACCTCCCATTTTGCATATTGAGAGAATTTCAGTAACTTACCTAATATTCTACAAGTAGCAAGTAACAAAACTAAGCTCTGGAGCCATGGCTGACTCTGAAGATCAGTACTGTCCCTAATTCCTAACTTTGTGAACTGACCCTTGAGAAAGAATCTCAGGTCATCTCTAGACATTTTCAGAATTCTTGTGCTCTTGTATTTTCCTGATAGAAACAAAATCTCCTGAACAAACTGTTCCTTACATTTACACTAGCTGAATGCTAAACCAACTGCAAAAGAGATCGTGGCTTCAATCTGACATTATTTCCTGAACGACCATTTTCTAGTCAGATAAACTCTCTAATCAGTTTTCTTTCTCAAAGAAACCAAGACTGAGTGCTTTCTAATTTTTTCCAGAGTTTTGAGACATAGACAGTAATGCCGTCACTATGATGGCAAAATGGCTAGCCCATGACAAGAGAGTTGAAATCCAGTTTCTGATTGGCAAGAATAGCACAACCCAATCTGGACATCCTTTATGTTAAACCTGGTGTTGGAATTCACTCAGTTTCCATTTGGAATTTCAAGTTCATTTTGTACTTGTAATCCAAAGAAACAGGTGTGCTGTGGTCCTGCTCTCACTCTTTCATGTTAATCTTTGGGAAGTTGGGGGTACTGGACAGGAGGAACATATTGACTTTGTTTCCTATCTGCATAATGAGAGTTTCTACAGGGAACTGTTGGAAGCAGACCCAGAGAGAACATAAGACAGGACAACTCCTTTCTACCACGTATCAAAGTTTGTACAACTCTGGCCACGTGGTCCAATAACAGTTTTTTCCAGAAGAAAGACATGGGAGAATAAGAGAGCTACAAAGACACCTGTTCTACATAGTGGTGCTCCAGTGTGGAGCTGCATGTTAAATCAGGTGGAAGGCTAAAGCAGTTCAGAACACAGGCTTTGGCGCCAAAACTGGGTTCAGCTCCCGCGTCTTCTTTATTTTACGCAGGGGAAATATTTAACCTTACCAAGGTTTAATTGAGTTATCTTTAAAAAAAAAAAAAAAGTGCATAGAAGGGAAAGCTTCTCAATTCCAACTTCCACAGAACAGGCAAAAATATTAACTGAAATGGTATCTTAATATGTAAAAGGCATGGCATGTAGTTGGTGCTCAAAAGTTGCAGGTCCTATAACAATGAGGCTAGAGTGTGTTCCCTGACCTCCTCTCAGGACTGAGCCAATGTGGTCACTTTCCTGTCCACGCCATGTGTCCTGACAGCTGGCTTAAACCATGTTCACAGCTGCAGGCTACCCTCCAAGGAATCCCTGGGCGCATTTCTGCCTTTGTCATCTCTATGCTGTGCATTTCTGCAGCAGTGCATGATAACGCAAGTGGGAGCCCCGCTGGCGAGGACTGCAGCCCACAGGACGAGGACACACGCTGGAGATGGAGCCCTGCCTTTCCAACCCTTAGGCAGCTGTGGTCTTTGTCCCTTCACTATTGGGTGCAGAGTTTCTTTGGAGATAATAGTTGCTAAATATGCCAAAGCTTTTAGAAATACCGCTGAGTTCCACATCCTACCCTACCCCTCCGCCCCCTACCCTGACAAGGTGGCCGGAGCACAGTGACCACTTCTGAGGGCGCACACTGAGACGTCCCAGAAGCAGTGGGAGCTGGCCTGGAACGCAAAGCGAGCTGTGGGGAGAGTTCTGGAACAGAGATCACATTTCAACACTGGGAGCCTCTGGGAGGGCCTTCCATTCAGGCAGTGGCTGAAACCTGCAAACAGACCACTCCCACCAGGCCTCCCCAACCCTGAGTAAACTCCTTTAAGCCTCAATTATACATGGTCCCACCAGGGTTTCCTATGACTGTCAGGATCTCTAGGGACCTGGGCCTGGAGACCAACTCCCTGGGCACTGCCTAGGAGGAATACATGTCCACGGCATAAGAGGAAAGAGAGGTTCACTAAATAGAGTGTGAACAGGTACCATTCAGACAGCCAGGAAAACAAAGAAAAATAATCATGAGGACCCAATTTGAATGGAATGATTTGATTTATAGGTTGAGATGATTAAAAAAGTAAGTTGTCAACTCTCTAGTGTCCAAGTATTCATTTATTTGTTCAAATGAGTATTTTTTCTGTACTTAAAATGGATCAGGCCTTGTGCAAGGCACTGGAGATACAAAGGTGAATGATACAGGTATGTCCCTGACCCCATAAAGATAATAGTCAAGGAGATGAGAGAGATAGGTGGAATCTTAGAGTAGTAGAAGGTGACGAATAGTATTTACTTTACTTTCCCTAGCAGAGACTTCTCAGTGATGGACCCAGAGCAAGAACTCAATAAATGATGAATGTATAAGTGAATGAAAATAACTAACATCTATTGAGTGTATTATGCAACAGGCACGATTCTAAGTATAGAGTAAATAAATGTATTAACTCATTTTGCATATGCAATGTATTTAATTGACATATACAAATTGACACACATAGTTAAATATATAGCAAATGAAAGTAGTAAACGAACAAATGGTGTATGCTTAGCCCCCAGACCTTCTCTCTCCTGAACGTGTTTTGAACCTGGAGAAGAAAGGACAAGAATAAACAATGATGGTGGATAAGCTTTGGGTTAGGCATCAAGAAATCTATACAAACATGGAAAGAAAATGGGTTTTGCCACAGTCTTAAGAATAAGCTGAGTTCACATCCTAACTTCACCTCATGGCTGGGTGATCGTAACCTCTCAAGCCTCAAAATCCGAATCTGTGAAATGGATTCAATAGCCCTGCCTCCTGGGGCTCTGGTCAGGGTTAGCCACATCCATCAGGTTCTCTGTGAGAAAGTGTCCCTGAACTGGGAGGCACCCTCCAGATATTAGTTGCTATGGATTTAGGACTTATTATTAAGAGGCAGCAGAGAAGAATGGGAAGCTCAACTTAGAATCAAAGGTCCTCCTTCTAAGTCTGGGCTCCATTAACCAACTGATATATGTAAACAGAGGGATTAATTGAGATAATGTGGGTTAAGATGTTTTAGTACAGAGCTACCATTGTAGAATAGGAAGGGGAGAAAAACCAAGCCCTTCCTGGAGAATGAGTCACCCAAGTCTTTCTCAGAGTTTCTGGATAATCTTTTTGAGCTGGGTTAAATAGACTGAATGAACTGATGAACTCCCAGGACCCTCCTCTCCTGAGAGCCTGTGATCACCCCACATGGGTGTGGGCACGATGTGATTGACTCTGCCTGTGGGATCAATAAGACCCACCTGCCCAGGGGTTCCTGGGGTCCTCTGTTGCTAACGGAGGAGTTGCTGCTAGGCAAGGAAGAGAGTAACAGGGAAACAGAGAAGGCAGGCAAGGATAGCTCCTCATTCTTAGCCAGGGTGCCTGCCGGCCGGGCAGTTCTGAGTGAAGCCCTCTGAAATGAACACTTTCTGTTTTTACAACAGTGTCAGACTATTTGGGGCAAATTTAACAAAATGTTGCAGCTTTCAGAACAGAGTATCTTCCTTGAATACATGTGCACAAAGCATATGCACAGTGGGATAAAAGATGATATGGAAAGTATTTCATACACTGTGCAATAGATTCTTACTTTGTTGTCCTTGGCCCAATGAACATGAGACACATTTTGTGTATATTAATTATTTCTAACTAAAAAAAACCTGAGTACAGAGTCAATATAACTTCAAATGTGTGAATTAATTAGGTGTTTTTGACCCTTCACTCTGAATGTATGTGTAATCCAAGGGAACTATGGTACATCTGTGGCTGATGAGTTAAAAATTAATTTACTAAGTCCCTGGTTCAGAAAGAATTAATTGATATCAAGAGTCATCTCTTTAGAATCTTAGCTACTGTTGCAAATAGTTTTGACACCACAAGAATTTCAAATTTTTGGTTCAAAACTCTAAAAAACTTGTAAGGTTATAAATTTGGCCTTGGCTGTGAAAGGAATACCTGTTATTTTGAAAAATAAATTCACACAGTTCAATTTGTAACTCCTTAGGTTAAAAATGTTAGAGAAGTTATAACAACTGGAAAATACATGTGTGCTAGGCACTCAGTTGTGTTCAACTCTTTGTGACCCCAGGGACTGTAGCCCGCCAGGCTCCTCTGTGCATGGCATTTCCCAAGCAAGAATTCTGGAGTGGGTTGCCAAGCCCTCCTCCAGAGGATCTTTCCAACCCAGGAATCAAACCTGCGTCTCCTGCATTACAGACAGATTCTTTACTACTGAGCTACCAGGGAAGCCAGAAAATACATGGAGCAAGTCATTATTTGATGTACTGAGGAAAAACTGTAAAGGTACCCATCTGCCCAGTGCCCTAGAAAGCTTTTGTTTATTTATGATCCCTGGTCCTCTTGTCCTGGTCAAGTGAGAAGTGTCCTCAAAGCTGTTCAGATGGGATCAATGTAGTGAATCGCCTAGGCTGACTTTCAGACTGTGATACTAAAATTAAAACCCAAACTATACAAGCTCCAAGGCACCTCTGTATGCCACACAACCCTTCCTCACTTATACTGATGCACCTGATGCACCACGTTAGAAATTTTATCTAATCAACTGACATTTTAAGGATCAGAGAATTCAACAAGAATAACAATGTGGCTACAATTTAGTCTTTTCCCCCCTTCATAAAAACATCATCTTCTATTTGGTCTCCACTCAGGTCAAGACATTTCACTAATTTTGTAGTCATTAAAAAGATATTTTTATACCCAGCCTGTAATATTATCCTCTTCAGTGATTATGATAGCTCCCAACAGAATTCCAGACTCGAAAATGAAGGCTGGGAAGCTGAACTGCAATTATGATACTTTAAATAATTCCACAAAAGTAGAACCACTGTTAAATAATTTATGGCCTTTGATCTTGTCACAGATCTACTGAAATCTTCACATCACTCGAGCTAAATATTTTCAAACAGAAAAAGGATGGTTACTTCCCCCTCTACCACCCACTCACCCTGGCTGAAGATATATCAATAAAGCTTCCAGATGTTTGTCTTGTTGAGAAGTTGGACCCCAGGAGAGGCATTGCTGCTAGTCTTAGCGACCTGCCAACATCAAACACTTTGCCTGGCATTTGACTCCTTGTGTCCAATACATACAGCTCTAAAAGTAGACCTGGGAGGAGGTGAGAAAATACATAAAGTTTGATTAAATTTATCTGAATCTGTGCAAGAACTAGAGTTTGCTTTCTTTAAATAAAATTTTGGGGAAGAGGATACAGGGCAAAGAGATGATCATTAGCTTTAGAAACAGAGAGCTCAAACCAGATGAATTTCACAGGCTCTCTGCTGACTTTTTTGCAGAGTCTGTGTTAAGGAATCCTAGGGAACGATCAGGTGATGATATCACGGTTCCCTGATAATCCCCATCAGTAATTATCCCCATTTTTGCCTCAGGGATCTACAGAACTGTTTTGCAGTAATTCCCAAGATAATTGCAGCTGAGTATATCTGAACAGAGTTTAAAAAAGAAAACCATTAGAACAGAAAATATTGAAAGAGGGAAAATTACAATTGTTCATTTATAAGCAATCTTCAAAGGTAGCCTTTGCCTTGGGTGAAGGAAAAAAGGCACCTGAATTGTTTGGGGGTTGTTTTCATCATGCAGGAAGTATTCAGGCTCCTCTGTTCACAGAATTCTCCAGGCACGAATACTGGAGTGGGTTGCCGTGCCCTCCTCCAGGGTATCTTTCCAACCCAGGGAACAAACCTGGGTCTCCTGCATTGCAGGCAGACTCCTTGCAGTCTGAGCCACCAGCAGAGTTGAAAATACTGTATTTCAGCAATTCTAAATAAAAACTACAGGGAGAGGTCTTAAGGCTGTGAAGCTGAGCTGTTAACAGTAATATCAGACATTTACACTGAGCACATTGTCTGACCTTCATAACAATCCTGCCGGGAAAAGCAATCCTGGAGAGACTGGGTCAACCAGCCCATGGTTACATGGGAAGTGGCAGAGATGGCTGACAGCCTGACCTATGTCTGACTGACTCCAAAGCCCCTGTCAGGCTAGAGAGCAGTAAAGAATCTGCAAAATAAAACATGTTTTCTACATACAGTGTGCTGCCACTTGGAAGGAAGGTGAGAAGATGCAAGTAGAATATCTGTTTGTTCTAGCATCACGTCCGCAGGCGGAAGCTCTAAAACAGTAGCTCAGTCATTGTGGAGAGCAGGTATCAGAGGTCAGGGGCAGGGAGCTCCACCCACAGACTTCAGAATCTAAGGCCGGCCTGTTTCCCGCTGCTCTCACTGTCCATGATTCTTCCTTGTGTCGCTCAATCTGATGAAGGAGCCAGGAGATCCACAAACCATCTACGAAACATTTTGCCTTCCTTGTGATCTCCCCACATCTCTTTCCCAGACCGTGATAACCCACAGTGAGAAATCACTTTAGTAAAATACTAAATACTCTTGCCTCAATAATTTTAATCATTTCACAAAGGGTGGAAAATATATTCATTGTAGTACAATTATGCTATAGCCCAAGTTTTCCAATGTCCTTCTAATCCTGCTCCCCAGACATCTGTTCCGCATCTCAGCTTCTCAAGACATAGATATATGTCACCCTTATTTTTTCCTCTGTCTGCCTTCTGCATCTGACCCACCAGTCACTCCTAAAAACTATCTCCAGATTGCATCTCAATTCTTTCACTCATCTCAATACCACGGCCACCCCCCCTGTTCAGGTTACAGTCACTCTCACCTGCATGAAGCTAATTACCTCCTACTTGGTCTTCACACAGCAACCAAAGACATTGTTTTCTGCACCCTTCAAAGAGTTGTTGTTTTTTTTTTTAATTATATAACAGGTACGTGAATGCACTATGGAAGGCTTAATATGATTCCCAAAGATATCCCCTCTTAACCCTGGGGTGTAAATGTGACCTTAGTTATAGAAATGGTCCTCGCAGATGTAACTAAGAATCTTGAGATGAGGAGATGAGCCTGAATGATTTAAATACCATCCCAACTGTCCTTATAAGAGAAGAGCAGAGGGAGATGAGATGCACACAGAAATGGGAAAGGCAACTCGACTGTGGAGGCAGAGACTGGAGGGACGCACACACAAGCCAAGGAATGCTGGTGACCACAAGGCGCTGGAGAACACGAAGGACAGATTCTCCTTAGAGACACAGCTCCGCCCACACCTTGCTCTCAGCCCAGTGAAACTGATTTCAGGCTTCTGGTCCCCAGAATTGTGTGAGAAAAAATATGTGTTGTTCTAAGCTACCAAGTTTGTAGTACTTAATTACAACAGTCACAGGAAACTAGCACCTGCACTGTTGATGCAAAACTCAAAATTATAAAGAACCTACTGTATAGAACAGATAATTCTACTCAATACTATGTAATGACCTATGTGGGAAAAGAATCTAAAAAAGAGCGGGAACATGTAATGTGTATAACTGATACACTTTGCTGTACAGTAGAAACACAAAATTGTAAATCAACTGTACTCCAATAAAAAGCTTTTTAAAAACTCAAAAATTATAGATAAAGTTTTAGATACCCCTAGGCCATCTCCTCTCCTCCCATCTCATTCTAGGTCTCCCATATGTGGTACCCACTGTCATAAGTTTCAGTTTTTATCAGTTCAATTCTTTTTCTTTGCATTTGTATACATGGATGTTGGAGAAGGAAATGGCAACCCATGCCAGTATTCTTGCCTGGAGAATTCCATGGACCAAGGAACCTGATGGGTTACAGTCCAGGGTCAGATACGACTGAGTGACTAACACACACACACAAGGATGTACTAAAAGAAGATACCTATTTTTTTTTGTTTTAGAGAATCCAAAGTGCTCCCCCAAGTTTATGATTAGTTTTGTCTGCTTCTGAGTTTGACATAAATAGAATAATGCATGTTCTTCTGTGACTTACTTCTCTCAACCATCATTATGCTTTTGAGATTCATCCATATCATTACAAGTAGGGATCTAAAGTTTGTTTTCTCTAGGGTAGCATATTCCATTGCATGAAAACAAAGCCTGGGTTCGCTCCCTGGTGAGGGAACCAGATCTCACATGCTGCAACTAAAGATTCCCACATGCTGCAATGAAGACTGAAGATCTCGTGTGCCAGAACTAAGACTCGGCACAGTCAAATAAATAAATATTTTAAAAATACTTTGTAAAAAATATTTTTTAAGTGCTTTATAAAAAATTTACTTATCTATTTACATCTGAGCTCATCTTAGCAAAGAGTAGTTTCATCATAATATTCCCTGCTTGGAGCCCTCCTCTGGCTTCTGACAGAAGTTTATATGACTGACTCTTCCCAGGGCTCCCTTTGCCTCTCACATCACATTTTATCCCACTTTCTTTAGGTTCCTTGAACACATCAAACTCTCTTCTACCTTAAGACTCTTGCCGGCCCCCCTCCCTGGACCACTGCATCCCCAGATATTTGTGCTCCTGGCTCCTCCTTTTTGTTCAAATCTTATCAAATCTCATCGGTGCAGCCTTCCCTGGCCACCCAATCTGCATTAGCCTCAGCCCCACTCACTCACTCCCATCAGCCCTTTTTAAAAAAATTTTCCTTGAAGCATCTCCCCCTATCTGCATTTGTATTGCACATCTGCTTCTTGGTCTATTGTCTGTCTCCCTAAACTGCTGCTCTGTGAAGGCATGAACCCTGCCTTATCCACCACTCGATCCCCAGCAGCTAGAACATGCCTGGCATGCAGTGGATGCCTGGCATATATTTGTTGGATGGGTAAATGAATGAGTGAGTAAATGAAGGTATAATGAAGATGCATTTTTACAGAGAGTAGATTGCTGCTGCTGCTAAGTTGCTTCAGTCGTGTCTGACTCTGTGTGACCCCATAGACGGCAGCCCACCAGGCTCCCCTGTCCCTGGGATTCTCCAGACAAGAACACTAGAGTGGGTTGCCAGTTCCTTCTCCAATGCATGAAAGTGAAAAGTGAAAGTGAAGTCGCTCAGTCGTGTCCAACTCTTAGCAACCCCATTGATTGCAGCCTACCAGGCTCCTCCGTCCATGGGATTTTCCAGGCAAGAGTACCGGAGTGGGGTGCCACTGCCTTCTCCGAGAGAGTAGATTAGACCCCACCAAAATTCAAGTACTCATTCAGTCCTTTCATGCAATGTGTCTATTTTCTAAAAGCCCTGAGTTGGTCCAGGTGATGAGAAGACATAGTTTGCTTGCTTGCTACTACTGACAATTTATTTGACTGGCTAGGTCAGTGAGGACCGTCCCATGGACAATGAAGAGCTGAAAATGCATTTACTGAAGTGGGGTTTTACCTTTACCTTAACTGTATGCTTCCCCCACTCCTGCATTTTCAAGCAGGGTGCAGTGTGTACTCGCAGGGTGACTAAGACACTGGACTATTATTAGTGAAGCAGGGGATGCTGATTACAACACCAAGCAGGCCTCTCCTTAGCCGGGAGCAGAACATCTACCCGAGCCTGTTCGATGATTTGGGCAGGTTTCCCACAGGTGAAAAGACTGACCCCAAGTAGGCCTCTCACTGAGAGAACAAAACATCACAGAGATGCCAAAGACCAGTTTGGGGGTTCAAAAATAGAACATGATAATAATGTGCCTCACCATTCACTTCACAAACATTCAGAGCCTCTTATTATACTCAATGAATTTGATTTCAAAAGCCATTTAGTTTCATTGCGGTCATGTGGCATTCCCAATTTCTTCTAGATTATTTTAGATTATTTCTTCATTTGTTTTTTTAGATTATTTCTTCATACTCTAGAGGTAGAAAATACAGTAACTGAAACCTGCGCAGGAGGAAACTGTGAAAGGTGATTTAGGGGTGCCTGTGTTCCCTTTCTCTGCAGTGTTTGCCCAGTGTTTAAAAAAAGGTTCTCAGCTATTGAGTTTTCTCTCTCTGTTAACATTCACTTCAAGATCCAAACACCAAATTAAAATGACAAGCAAGAGGAACAGGTGGTTATAAAATGTACTAACTATGGGGCTCTGGGAGGAGGGTGACTCAGGAAGCATGGGCAGTTTGGCCTTTTTCTCCTAAAACACAAGCCTGAGGCCAAATCACAGCGGGCAGCAACACCTGCACACACACACCGAGTGGAGTTGCGTGGGCTCAGTGCCGTGGCGGCTGGGGACGGAACACTGACATCGCAGATGGAGGAAGCTGGGTTCGAGCTTTTCAGCACAACTTCGCACAGATGGTAAGTAATCTGCCCACAATGAGGGAGACCCCGGTTCAACCCCTGGGTCAAGAAGATCCCCTGGAGAAGGGAACGGCAACCCACGCCAGTATTCTTGCCTAAGAGAATTCCATGGGCATAGGAGCCTGACGGGTTACAGGCCAAGGGGTTGCAAAGAGTCTGACACGACTGAGCGACTAACACTTTCACTTTACAACACGGCAGAGAACAAAGAGAGGCACACACAGCATGGTTACTTCTGCCAAATGAGTCCCCCTGTGGCCAAGAATCACAGTGCTCCACAAAGAAGCTGAAGGAATCAAGTTCGCTGGGTCAGGACCCTGCCGACTGGGAGAGCTGATGTCCGTCTAAAGGGGGCTGGGTCCACATTGACCAGACAGGTCCTTGTTTTGCTAGACTATCAGAATTTCCAAAGAAGTCAAAATGGAGGTTTCTGAAACATCCAGTTCTAAATGCTGGCAACACATTTGAACCTCTTTGTGCATATTCTGTGGATCATGCCCAACATGTCTGTGGGCTAAATTTGGCTTGCGAGCCATCAGTTTACAACTTCTTGTCTGAGAGTGGCAACCTCGATGGCCACAATTAGTGTGATCTCCCACAGCCACGTGACCCTTTTTTTATAAAGAAAATTTTGAAACAACTTTCTTCCCCTAAAATATAATTGATGATAAATAATCTACCTATAAATTTAATTCAAAATTTTAAATATAATATCCTCGCTATAATGTAAAAGATGAGTGAAAGTGAAAGTCCCAACTCTTTGTGACCCCATGGACTATTCAGTCCACGGAATTCTCCAGACCAGAATACTGGAATGGGTAGCCTTTCCTTCTCCAGGGGCTCTTCCCAACCCAGGGACTGAACCCAGTTCTCCCGCATTGCAGGTGGATTCTTTACCAGATAAGCCACAAGGGAACCTCAAGAATACTTGAGTAAGTAGACTATCTCTTCTCTAGCAGATCTTCCCAACCCAGGAGTTGAACCGGAGTCTCCTGCACTACAGGAGGATTCTTCACCAACTGAGCTATCAGGGAAGCCCAAAAGACGCGTACTTTATATAAAAATAAATATGTATTTCTGTGTGTAACTGCTAGGACATAACTGCCTTGGAAGGCATGAGGACACTATCAGATGCTTGCCTC